CCTTCCCTAAGAGTAGTTCTGTATTTTTATCTGTTTTACAAATCAAGCTTCCAATTACAATTTAATTTTTATAAAAAGGCAGGTTCAGGATATTTTTCTGAAGAGTTGAAAATAAAATGACTAGATGAATTCATGAGGTAGAATTTTGTTTTATAAAATAGAGTGCATTCACATAGCTCACACTGTCTAATATAAACAGTACCAACAATTAAATGTATAAGTAAAACAGAAAAACTGTATCTGTGGGTTTACAATCCAGTAGTACTGAATAAACAAGCAACAAAGCTATGTCAATATCACATGCTATTTTGATCATGACCTGCCTTCATCCCCCAATTAGAAAAACCTTCCAAATCTCTCCTTAGATCACTGATAAGGAAAGAATACTATGTTTAGATAACTAAACTATATCAATTCAGAATCTAAATTTTACAAATATTGATATAATCTCATTCTCAGTAAAACTGCAAATTCTTATAATGAAATATTTAAAAGGGAAAACAGCCATCACCCTTATTTTAAGATTTTTCATTATAATTTCCTGGACAGTCAAAGCATTCTCTACTGAACTAAAAGTATCATTAACTTTATACATATTCCTTTAAAAGGGATATACTATTTGTTTATTTTTGCTCAATTTTCTTATGTTTTCTTTTTTATTCAAGTTCTAAGCCACTGCTTTTACTAACATCAAACAACTGCTTGATATGTCCTTAATAAACTGGTGCTGAACTGACTGAAATGAAGTTATTCCTAAGGTAGGACACCAATATACTGGAGAAAATGCAAGAGTGAGGGAAAGCTGCAAAGCCATCTCTCCCACTTTAATCATGCTGTGGCCCTTTATGGACCCGATTTATAACTGTTACAAAACTAAAACATATTAACTCATCTGCTCCTCCCAACAAACCTAAAAGGGGGTGTCATTTTACTCTCCATTTTACAGCCAAGGAAACTGAAAGACAGAGCTATTCGATAACTTATCTAAGGTAACATAGTGAGTAAGTGCTGGAGCAGGGATATAAACTCAGACAGCCCAGTGCTTTTCAAACCTTAATGTATATACAATTCACCTGGGAATCCTGTTGAAATTCAGGTTAGGATTCAGTGCCTCTGCAGTGGGGGAAGGCGAGATTCCAACAATCTCACCTATGATGCAGAGGCTGCTCGTCTGAAGATCACTCTTTGAGCAGCAAAGTACTAGTCTATGCTAAAAAATGATGAAACGTGGTAATAACCCTCAAACAGAGGTCGAGTTCATCCACAGACAGAGGGTTATGACTAAATCAAGGGTTTCTAACTTCTGGTTTAGAACTTAATTGCTCCTTTTATTAATTATTTTTAAAAAGAAGCAAGTTAGCAAAATGTGCTTTCAGGTTTTGCACTATGAACATATTAATACTCTAACTTGATACTGTAACACCTCCTTCCAATAAACCTTTTCCACATCCAAAAACTATTTACAAATGCCCCTGAATATCTACTTTAACATAAATTCAATCTGAACACATTAAAGAATATTTTAAGAATGTATATTTGTCTCATATATATGGGAAAAAGTAGAGTTTGAGTTTAAAAATTCAGCACCTTTCTGTATTTTTGTCACTTGTACAAGTGATAACTGAGGGGACAAGAACACACTTTGGGAAACAGGTGGAACCTAAATGTCTGAATAGCACTTCACTCAACAATTCTAGTCATTAACTTTCTCTAAAAACATACGGAAATGCCCAAAATACAATTTCCCTTCATTCTCATCAACTATTTATACCCTAATCTAGATTATAGTATGTAAAGAGTATAAAATGAAGCCACAAAATATTATGCCTTTGTTGAGGATGCTTTGGCCTTAGGCACTTCAATACCTAAAAACTGAAATGCCATCTAATCACTAGAAATAAACAGTTTAGCAAACTTTTATACTCTCAGGAAAAGAAATACTAATACTCTCAAAATATATTCAAACAAGTTTAAAGCCACACACATAATTCAACAATTAAGTCTACTTTAAGATCACCCTGAGTGTATACAATATAGACATGGCTAGATAATAACTAAAGAATCTTTTATTAATTCAACATAGAAAATGATTTAAGAGAAATCTTAGTCTGAATAATTTTGATTTTGTTGAGTTTTCTTGTATTTCATTCAACATTTTCCTAAATGTACACAGATATACTTTCTTTTCTTCCCTGAGGAACAAATCTGTCACATACTTTGACAAACTTGTAAAAATCATATTAAAACTATAATGGAACTCTGATTAACTACACATGAAAGTCAAAAGAATTAGGTTTCATTGATTTCAATCAATATGAATTCACATGTGCTAGAATTTATAAATATAGAATCCCATTTTTAATAACATAAATGAAGAAATTTAAACTATATAATCATTATGAAGCTAAAATTCTCACTGATGACCTTGTGAATTACAAGAACACTAGCAATGTGTCACATACCTGACATGAGTAAAAAATATAATACAAATTTGGCCTTAGCTGTCAAAAATCCTAAAATGTCTCCACTAAACACTGAATATTCCAAATTCCTGGACAACGACTGGATATTCCACCCAAAAGAATCTTAAGACATATAATGAAACACACAAAAGTATCTGGATATTTTTGTCAGATGGAAGACTGTCCCCAAACTACCAGTCCCCTACCAAGACTCGTATTTCCTGTCTGTTTTTGCTTTAATCAGTCAGTCACAAAGAAATGCATACAGGGGTGGGCAAAAGTAGGTTTACAGCTGCAATACAAATACTACTTAAATAATAATACAATAAACTGTATTTCACATACTCACAACTGTAAACTTACTTTTGCCAACACCCATATACTAAAAGAACTAAAGAACTGAAAGATGTCATTGCAATAGTTAATGGTAAACATAAGTTATGACAAGGGAAATCAAAGATGATGTATTCCATGTTATCGCTCACAAGCAAGCCCAAAGGTTTGCTACTTCACTAGTCTGATCATTAAATGTGAAGCGTTCACGAACTGCAATGAAAACAGAAAAATAAAAGAGAAAAATAAAAACAAGTTAACTTTCTATCTCCTAGAAAGATTCTACTTCCTCTAAACTAATCCTCAGTGACCACGTGGAACCATTCCTACGTTAAACTGACAGCGCTATTCCTTCAGCAACTGCAATGCTGCACTACTGCTCTCAAGACATTCAACACATGTCTACTGGGCTCTCTAGTTTATGCGAGTACACTAGCTTGGGCCATTTGCAGAAAAGAAACAGAAACCTTTAAAAATGTTTGACCTTATGTGCCATTTAAAAACACTGAAGAGTTTTGAATGGACAGCGCTTTGCCTCTTTTATAATAGGAAATACCAAAACACACTCAATTTAAGTGATTCTTCAGAGAGCAAATTTAACTTGACCCCCTCCCTAAATGGCTACAGATTTGACATACCATTTAGACACCTAAAAATATTTTGATTTATTTATCCATTAAAGCAGTGCTGTTCAATAGAAATACAATGCAAACCACATATGTAATATTAAAATTTCTAATAACCACATTAAAATGGTAAAAAATAAAAGTGAAATTAATTTTAAATCAGATTTTATATAACCCAATATATACAAAATATTACCATTTTAACATGTAACAAAAAATGTTTTTAAATTGGTAAGATTATTCTACATACTTTTCTTTGTACTAAGTTTTCAAAATCCGATGTGTATTTCACACTTATGGCATGTCTCATTTTGGACTAAACTGAAGTGGTCAACAGCCACAAGTGGCTAGTGACTACATTACTGCACAGCGTAGGTCGTAAGTAATACTTTCAGATCTGACATACCACTATCTGCTTAAAATTATTTTGCATTCTTGTTTCCTTTTGGAACTGAAACAGCTGATTACAAATATAAGCAAGACTGTTAATTCACTGGATAAATCAGGATCCGAACACCGTATCCGAGGATCCGGTTAATACACATAGAAGGAAGCAATTGGATTGTACCCTATTATATCTCAAACATACTTCAGAGATAGGTCTCACCATCACAAGTGAACACAAAACTTGTAGCAAAAATAAAGGTCAGACAAGAAAACATTCTCATATCAAACCATAACACTGCCTTATTTCTAGCAGCCACTCTCACTCTTGAGCACATATCTCTATGCAAGTTATCTACAAGACTGTTCTTTCTAAGTTTGATGAATTTTAAAAACCATAAAGTCACTACTGAAAAACAAAGCACTAAGTAAGAGGAACTGAAAAAAATGTTTCAAGGAAAAAAATTATCCACCAGTTATCTTAATGCACCTTATATCAACCAAGAATCTTAAATTATTCTACATGAGTTTCACTGATATAAATTCTTCCCACAAATTCCAATTCATCTAACTGCTTCTCATACACATTATTTCAAGTACCTAAATTACTAAGAATTCTTCCAAGTAATTAGGACATTTGATTAAAATGTAAATAATTCCAACAATATACTGTCTAGAAAACAACTAAAACCATTAGCTTAGCACATGAAATTTGTCCTTACGGCAAGTTAATGAATAAATCAAACAGAAACAACTTATACTCTTATTTACTGCATTTACATTTTATAACACATTCGGTGATTTCTAAATTTGGAAGGTCAGTTCAGATTGCACACAAGCAGTAACTTTAAAGCTCAGGAAAAACTGTAGAAGTTTCTGCAATATACTTCTGAATAAACACACTCTACAGAAATACTACAACAGAAAAAAAAATCAGCACCGTTCAAATCAATCTCAGTAAAAAGCACAAAATCAGTACATTCACAAGTCCAACATGTATATATAACATGCTAAAACGCATTTTTTTCTCCCAAATGTACTTAATTCATCCTAGAAAATGTTTGTTTAATCCACTTGCAAAGCTGGAAAGAAGCAAATGTAGCCTCTTCAGCAGCACACACATCCAAGGACGATACATCAATCTCTTGGTATTTTTCCACAATTTGAAATTAAATCAACAAAATTTGTTTCTTACCTGCAGTTAGGAGGAGGATCAAGGGTTATTTCAGCTAGCTCCTTCTGAATTCTGTTAGTGAAATGAGAACAGACAAAAAGGATTTGCGATAGTCTACAGAATAACCGGGAAATTACACTGCCCTCTACCACCATGCAGTTAAATGCAAGGCTGGCTTTGCCTTCAGTAATGCTAACATGGCTGCTTCCTCTTTGTTCTCAGAGGCATAACCCAAATCCCTTAACAGAAACTTTGCAGCTTTTTTTCTCACTTGCTACTGTAAATAAATAAGACATTTACACCTGTTTTGAGAAATAGTCCTCCAATAGCACTCAGTAAAGGATCTAAAATCTGTTTTAAAACACTTTTTACCAAAGAAATTCTCTTTTCAAGCTTATATGCAAATGAGACAAGAAGGGAGGAGGGAAAGCATTAGAATATTTGACAATGACTTCCAGTCACTTTTACCAAGGTAAAAATTAACAAGCTACTGCTCTTACACATTAATAGTGCTGACAGTATTTTATCTGTAAAAAAGAAGTTTAAAATTTACAAATGTCTTTACCAGTGAAAAACTTCCAAAGGACTTTGGCATTATTTAACCTTATCTGTTTTCCCTGATCTTAAGTACAGCACATAAATTTAATAAATTTGGGGGAAAGGAGATAAAAAGATATACTATATTGCTTTGAGAAAAGGGGAGGGCAATTATTGATTTTATTCAAATTTAAAATGCTCTCAAAGCTTAAGATGTTTAAAATGTTCCTCAAGATTACAATAAATTGACAAAAACTGTAAATTATTCCAAAGACTGCTGTTATTTAATAAAATATTCTCGTTATTATCAATTGTTGATACAAGAGATGAAAATCCATAGAAAAATAAGAGTACTTCTGAATCATTACAAAATGCCAACATCTGATCATTTTTATATTTTCTTTTTCCTTTGGTTGTGATCAATAAAAATCAACAAAATGTCAACACTGACTAATACTGTAGGGTACATTTGATGTATAATTACCACAATTCATGGATATTCCCACTAGCCACCACTGATGGGAGTCCCATCTTGACAGAACATTATTTTTCCCCCATCACAGGATAATAAAAATCAACAGGAGACAAAATGATCTTTTCACTTATACCCAACAAAATATGTTTGTCCTGCTGTAGAGTATTAAAAGTGTCAAGCACAGCCACAAGTTTTTCAGGGAAAAGGCACAATGACAGTGAAAGTTTTCAATCACCAAGTGCCATCTAAAACTGGAAGTAGCACTTACCAGTTTTATTTGCCCTCAAAGGAATTCGAAAGCATAACCATAATTCAACTACAAAAAGTAATACCTGGGATGCATGACTTAACGTCAGGTTTGGAAAACGGAAAGCACCTTTGAAGCAGTTTTTAAATCTGCTTTCAAATACAGCTGAGGACTTGAACTGACAGATTTCTAGCAAACATGATGGTTTCTGATGGTTAAGTTTCACGGAGAGGCACTGCTGACCTGTAGAAGTGTCCATTTCCATGAAGAAGAGTATATGACTCATAGAAAGGAGCATCCTCCATGGACCAGCTAATCCGGGTTCACCCAATTTTCCTTGCCAACTCCTTCAACCATCTGTCAGAATGTCAGTCCAATCTCTACCCAAGGACACTGCTTACAGAAGTTACCAGAGCACAGAATAAGTTTGCTTAAAAGTATAACTCGAGGGAGGTGGCTTCTATGCCACCTACAGAATGACAACTCATTCTGGCACCCATAAAAATCCAAGTAAATATGGTTGAACTGCTGCTGCTGATGTAAAAAACCAGCCAAAGCGTCGAGCCACTCGGAAGACAACCTGACAATGTGCTAAATCCCTGCGTGACACATTACCTTTTAGCACTAGTGGATAACTTAGCAGTGGTTTTGCTGGAGAGTTTGGTGTTCTTCTTCTGCTGGGTGGCAGAAGGCTTTCTTTCTTCTTGTTCTTCAGGCTCTGGAGCGGCTGGGTCTCGCTGGTCTGCATCTGAACTTCCACTGCTGGTGCTGGGGCTCTCATCATCGGACCTCTGCCTCTCACTGGACATCTTGATGAAGTTAGTACTTGGAAAACTTTTAAAAAGAAAAAAAAAGGGGAGGGGGGAGAGGAAATGTTAAGTCTAAGAAATAAGCCCATAGCCTTTTCTTCCCTTAACCGTCACCTAAAATCGTATTTTAATGAAAACGCTTCCAAAGTGTTCACAGGATCCCATCGCCCTGCAAGGTTACGGGGCGGCGATGTGCCTGCCTCACGCCAGCAGCGTTCAGGGGTTCACCCAACTCAAGTTAGAAAACCCACTCGCATTTTTTCCCCCCAGCCCTCGGACAATCTATCAATTGTCTACTTTCTCAGAAGGCAGGAGACAGATCTGCCAGGGAACTTCGGCCACGAGCATTCATAACACATGACACACTGTCAATAACAGATCCCGCGGGGGGAAACAAGATGTTTAAATACTCCACAATGACGTCCCACATACTTCGCCACTGACACGGGTCCACGCTACCAGATTCCACTTTTCCGAGAGGAACACATCCCCCGTTCCTTCGCCGATTAGCATATTGAAGCCGGGGATTCCTTCTCGGATGCACGGGTAGGCTTGCGACTCCACAGCTGAACGGATTTAAAGCCACTAAAGCCCACCCACGAGCTGCTCGAGCCGTTCCCCGCGGCCGCGGCGGCGATTCACCCCGGCCAAGCCGAGCTGCCGCCCCGGGGCAGCTGCGGAGGCCAACTGCCCCTTACTGCACCCGCTCCCCCGTGCCACCCCGGGTTCCTTGCTCAATTTTCACATCACGGACCCGACATTTTGTCCAAAAATCACGGGGGGAAAAAAATATATCAGGGGGAAAAACAAACCAACAAACAAAGCCCCAAGAAGTGCAACAAATCTCCGCGCCCCCGGAGCGAGGCGACCCGCCCCCGGCGGCGGCCACGCAACCCCGCGGCCTTTGTGGGGACGCGACCAGACAGCGGGGGCCGGGGCAGCGCTC